AAATCAGTTATCTTTCAATAATCTATTCTAGAATTTTCTCAAGGAATAACTTCAAACTTTTCACTCAGTTTCTGAAATCTATCTTTTTCATTTTTGGAAACCTGGAAAATACTTGTTATCTCCAGTTTTCTGGCCCTTCTCCTACTCATTTTGATTTTGAAAAGACTGTCAACAGTGGGATACACATGCAAATTGTTTCAGTATTCTAGAAGGTAATGCATTAACTGATGCTCAATTAAAGTAGTAAAGGATCTCTACAACTGTGTAGGCTTTAGGGCTCAATAAATAGCACCCCTTTTTCCCACCTAAGTTCTGAACAAAATAAAAAATAAGCAAAATAATAGGCAGATGGGAGACAGTAACATTTATATTGATAAAGCTGAAATTGGAGAATACAGTTTATATCCACAGGCAAGTAGGTTTTAAAAATGATCCCTAGAATTAAGAAGTCTTACCTCAGAGGGGCAGAATGTGTTTCTATAAAACACATGGAAGACCCAGTATCTCTCAAAGGCATCCTCACTTCCATGAGAAAAAGGAGAAAAGAAGGAGCTATCATGTCCAATATATTTTTGCAGAGTTACCAGAAAGACTGAAAAGAGGAGTGTTTGGCCCCTTCTATGGGGTGGAAAATATGTGAGGCAGTGGAGAAGTGAGGGATGCTGTGCTCATGGAGATTTCTTCATTTGGAAGGAAGATTGGGAATAAGGAAGAAGCACTCCCAAGCTAGGAGGATTCATTTTCCCCTTGCAGTGTAAATGATGGGAGTTAGTCATTTTGCTGCTGTTTAGCTATCATTTGTTAATACCTTACCATATTTTCCATCACTGGAGACCATTCCTCCGGTAGTTTCCTTCCTTTATTCTTAACTATTGTTAGCAAGGTTCTCCTGCAATTGAGTCTCCCCAGCATGATTTTTGACCTCCTTTTTTAGTTCATACCTTTTTAAAATCTGATGGCCCAAGTCTGCAAAATAGAACCTCTGTGTTTACCAACAATAAATTTATTTGTACAGACTAACTGAAATAACAAAAATCTCAACTTTTGGCTGGAATCATACTAGTTATCTCGATGGTGATGAAAATCATGCTTTTAA